GGTCTTGCTCTTGCTCAGGCTGGTCTCTCAAACTCCTGAATTCAAGCGAGCCCCCCACCTTGGCCTCCCAAAATGTTAGAATTATAGGTGTAAGCTCCCATGCCAGCCTCTTCTCATGTCCTTTCTCATGCCTAATCCTGGGCTTGCCTGTGGCCTTCCTGATTCCTTGGTACACACAGGATTTTTAAAGGCCCTTATTCTCTAAGTATCTCTTTTTCCAAACTCTTCTTCCCAGACTCTGGTCTTTCTATTCCTTGTCTCAGGCTGCTGCAGCCAGTACATACATTTGTCCTACAAGTTTTCAGTAAATGCCCAAATGCCACCCTTGGTCTAGTCCCTCAGAGAGACCCTAGTCAGGCCCACTTGCACAGCCAAAGTTCTTTGAGAACAGAGTCTGTGTTGCTCTCTCTGGCAACCTGTACAAGGAGTTCATAGTGCTATCTTCATGGCCATCAGCGATCTAGAAAATGGGAAACAGCAAGTGGGCAATTTAAAATGGCAATGTTCTCTTATTGCAGTGTGGCGATTTCTTTCTTCATTATATTTTCCCCCTGGTGGTTGTACGTCTGTGGCAAGATTCCAGAGTTCTGCAAAAATTGATTCTGACAACTTTTGCCAGTAGTATTTGTGGAGGAATGAACCCTAGAGTTCCCTATTCCACAATTTGTGGTGATACTGCTCCACTCATATTTCTTAATTTTCTATTTTGTGGGGCAGCACCTGTGGCTAAAGGGGTAGGGCACTGGCCCCATATACCAGAGGTGGTGGGTTCAAATCCAGCCCCAGCCCCCCCCAATTCTATTTTGCACTCAAAGAACTTAATCTCTTTTAGACATTAATTTCAATAATTTATCACTCTTATGCAAATGTAAAAAGGAAAATACAAGCCAGGTAGATCAATTGAAGTATTACTAAATGTCTTCGTGCTCACTCTGTGGCTCCTCTGAATCACTTTTTCATCTATGAGGGGTTTTACACAACACTGCTCTCTGTCAAGAGCCTTGATAGTGTAGCTTTTTTTTTTTCTTTTTTTTTTGAGACAGGGTCTCTGTCTTCCAGCTGGAGTGCTATGGCATCATCATAGCTCACTACAGTCTCAAACTTCAGGGCTCGTGATCCTCCAACTCAGCCTGCTGAGTAGCTACTGTAGGGACTGTAAAGACTGTAGGCATGCATCACCACACTCAGCTAATTTTTCTTTTGTCCTTTGTAGAGACTAGGTCTTGCTCAGGTGTCTAACTCCTGACCTCAAGGGATCCTCCTGCCTTGGCCTCCCAGCGAGCTAAGACTATAGGTGTGAACCATGGTGCCCAGCCTTGATTTTTTTTTTTTTCCATTGGGTCACCTGCTGGTGGCTTGAGTCCCAGCCCTGTTAAGAGGGAGTTTACTGCACACCTACTGGTGGTTTTATTCTTTCAGTCTTGTCTTCTCTTTCACAAACTCATATATTGGGAATAAGGTTCATTCATAAAAGTCTCTATTTTTAGATACAAACATAACATACATAAACCTCACCACTGTGACACAAAACCCAGGAAAATAAGCCACAAAGTTGAAATTAGCCTAAGATAGAAGGTAAACAAAAATATCTAATCTGGTATTTTAGAACAACAACCTGATGAGGGCATTGCAGTCAACAAAAGTTTCCCACCTCTTGAAACCTCATTTCATATTTAAATTTAAACAGCACTACTCTTAAACACATTTTTACTTTTTCAGACTCTAATTTGGAGAACTGTTCTTGTGTCCTGTGAAGTGTCTGAATATGATCTCCAGGGATAGAGCAAGCTGAATTATGGTCACTCCATCTCTGAATGAGCGAGGGCAGCCAGGCTGAGCCTGGTCTTGACAGCCGCACTGGAGCATGTCTTAATGTTTCAGCCTCCTGGGTCTTTAAACACTGCCATGTCCAAAGAGTTCACACCAGCTGACTTCACTGGAGCAACTCAGCTGTGCACAGTGTAAGAATGTTCTAGTTGACGTGGAAGAAGGGAGACTCCACCTGCTGTGCTCTGGGACTTCTGTTTTGTGACAGATGCTGAGAACACTGAAGAAGTGGAGGTGGCTCATGCAGACATTGACCTGAAACATGTCTTTAGCAGTGAAAAATCGCTAGAACAACTTTGCAATTATTGTGAATAAACTAATGTGGAGTCAGGAAAGGGCCTTGAAATATGGGCAGTAAACAGAGATAGCCAGGAAATGATGACAAAGAACTGTCACAAATACTAAACTTTAATTATTAAAAAAACATGCCTATCAAGGGAATTGCCTAAGCCCAGGAGTTGGAGGTTGCTGTGAGCTGTGTGACGCCACTGCACTCCACTGTGGGGGATAAAGTGAAACTCTGTCTCTACAAAAATAATAATAAAATAAATAAAAATGAGAAAGAAAAGAAAAGAAAAGAAAAAACATGTCTGTAATCCTAGCACTCTGGGAGGCTGAAGTGGGTAGATTGCTTGAGTTCACTGCTTTGAGACCAGCCTGAGCCAGAGCAAGACCCCCGTTGCTAAAAATAGCAGGGCGTTGTGGCAGGTGCCTATAGTCTCAGCTACTTGGGAGGCTGAGGTAAGAGGATTGATTGCTTGAGCCCAAGAGTCTGAAGTTGCTGTGAGCTGTGATGGCACAGCACTCTACCAAGGGTGATTGAGTGAGACTCTGTCTCTAAAAATAAATAAAAATAAAATGAAAAAACCTTTAATTATCCGCACATATCACAAAAAATCTATCCTTTGGATCTGTGATCTCTCCCTCTTCTGCAAAAGGGAAGAACTCTGTTCTAGCCCATCTTCTGAGTGTGCACGAGCCACGATACACGCACTGCTGGGGTTGACTCTTTATAGTAATGGCGTGACATCAACATCACATACCCTCTCTGAGTAATTCTAAGGCAGTTGTAATTCTAAGGAAGCCTGTCCTTTTCGAAAACCTATTTGGCACCCCAAGTTGTAACATCAGCGTCTCCGGGGAACTGACTGCAGAGCCAGAGTGAGACTGCTGTGCGGTTGCTGCTGGGACCCAACACCCAGGGGCGAGGGGCTTGGGGGAGAAGCCCAGGAAAGAAGAGCTGTGAGGTGGAGGAGCGTGTGAACGGTGGCACAGACTTAACAAGCCATTTGACCACAACTGCCGGCCCCAAATTGCCAGAAAATTTAGAAGGCTAGAAGGCCCAGCCCTCCTGAGTCTTTTCATACACTTCACAACGTGAAGTGCGGACGCCCGGGCTCACAACTCAAAACTTTCCCACGGCGCGAAACCGACACACATTCAGCGCTCCCTGAAATCCATTAAGTTGAAAATATCCGAAGTTGAAAGCACACTTCAGGCTTGAGACATTTTCAGCTTACAAAGGGTTTGCCAGGATGCGACCCACGTAAATCAAGGACCATCTGTCCCCGACAGCTACTCGCAATAATCTGGTTTGTCTCCGCAAAGGGCCCTAGCTGCGGGTTGCCAGCACGTCCTGGTCCAGGGCAGCTGGGGCAGGACTAGAGCAGCGAGCCTCGGCCGCTAGGCGGCACTGCGGCACAGCCGCAGAGGGAGCGCGGCCGGCGATGTAGGCTCAGTATAGTGCCCGCGTCTCCGCCGTCTGGCCGGCGCTCTACTGCGAGGTCCTGCGATCCCTCGGGCAGGGCGCTCCAGCCGTGCTGCTGGACATGGACCCCGAGGGCTGGAGGCAGCCAGGACACAGAGGAGAGCAACTGGCGCGCCCGGATTCCCTGGGACGTCCGGGTTTGCGCCGGCGACCCCACCGCCAGCCAGAATGCACGCCAGGCACTCACGACCAGGTTGCGGCTGGAGCGCGGCCCCGCACCCGGCCCCCTCCCGCGACGGCGGCGCCGGCCCAGTCCTGCTTCTTGATTGCAGCTCAGCAGGAGCGGAGGCTCCCGAGCCCACAAACAGGAAGGCGAGAGGGCTGGGCGCGGGCAGAGGGAGGATCATTCCCAGCAGCGGCCTGGCGGCCCAGGGGCGGGGGCGGCGGCACAGGGGAGGGCGCGGAGCTGGCGGGCGGTCCCGGCTCCCAGGGCGCCCCTGCTCCTCCCCCGCTGCCCCGGGGCGCCCTGCGGAGCCGGAGCCGGGGCGGGGCGAGCGCGTCACCCGGCTAGAAAAGGCGGCGGGCCCGGCCCCGCGAGGTGACAGCCGCGACTGGACGCAGAGCCCGGCCCGACGCCGCCATGAGCGCCGCGCTCTTCAGCCTGGACGGCCGCGCTCCCTGGCCCGCGGAGTCCGCGCCCTTCTACGAGCTGGGCCGGGCGGGCAAGCCGGGCCGCGGGGCTGAGCCAGGGCCCCTGGGCGAGCCGGGGGCCCCAGCCCCCGCCATGTACGACGACGAGAGCGCCATCGACTTTAGCGCCTACATCGACTCTATGGCCGCCGTGCCCACCCTGGAACTGTGCCACGATGAACTCTTCGCCGACCTCTTCAACAGCAACCACAAGTCGGGCGGCGCAGGCACCCTGGAGCTGCTGCCCGGCGGCCCCGTGCGCCCACCGGGCCCCAGCCCCGCAGCCCCGCGCCCGCTCAAGCGTGAGCCCGACTGGGGCGACGGCGACGCGCCCGGGTCTCTGCTGCCGGCCCAAGTGGCCGCGTGCGCGCAGACCGTGGTGAGCCTGGCGGCCGCTGGGCAACCCACACCACCCACGTCGCCGGAGCCGCCGCGCTGCAGTCCCGGACCGGCCCCCGCGCGCGGCCCCGCCCGGGAGAAAGGCACAGGCAAGAGGGGTCCGGACCGCGGCAGCCCCGAGTACCGGCAGCGGCGGGAGCGCAACAACATCGCAGTGCGCAAGAGCCGCGACAAGGCCAAACGGCGCAACCAGGAGATGCAGCAGAAGCTAGTGGAGCTGTCGGCCGAGAACGAGAAACTGCACCAGCGCGTGGAGCAGCTCACGCGGGACCTGGCCGGCCTGCGGCAGTTCTTCAAGCAGCTGCCCAGTCCGCCCTTCCTGCCGGCCGCCGGGGCCTCCGACTGCCGGTAACGCCCGGCGCGGGCGCGACAGACTCTCCAACGACCTATACCTCAGGCCGATGGGCCGCGGGCTCCGCCGCGGTTCCTTCGGAACGTGTGAGCGAAAGGAAGCCGCAGCCTGGACTCACTGCCACTGAACTGCGAGAGAAGCTATGCGTGTTTATCGTCCCTTAACTTATTTTTGTAACGGTAGCTTTTTCTACATCTTCTACTCATGCAGCTAAGGTACCTTTGTAAAAAAAAAAAAGACTTATGACAAACCCTTTGTATTGTAGGTAAGAGGGAAAGACTGAGCATGCTCACTTTTTTATATTAATTTTTACAGCATTTGTAAGAATAAAGCAGCATTTAAAATCGCCCCTGCTTCCTGTATTCACAGTGACTCCCGCATGACGGCGGAGGCAGGACCCGGCTAGGGAAGGGTGCGGGGCTGTGGGCGCTCAGCGAGCACCTGAGGCCAGGTGGCCAGGTGTGGGTTCTGGGAAGCCTAGCTTGCCAGAGGAGGGGCCGGTCTGCCGGGGCTGCCTCTGCCCAGACGGCGCAGCAGGCCGAGTTCAGTTAAGCTAGTAGCTTTACAGCAGATGGTGCTCCCCCAAAAGTGCCCAGAGTTCGGCTTATTTGGGGGCCTTGCGGAGGGCAGCTAAGGAGTTCCCTAACTAGGTGGCTGTCTGAAGGGTACGGGGAGAGGAGGTCTCAGACTGTCTTTGGCTTTCTATGGGACTGTGCTTTCACTTTCCTCACTCTTGTAGAACACGTCAAATAGATTTTCAAAGGGCACAATAAAAGTACAAAATGGTCACGTAGATGAAAAAGAATCGCAAAACTAAAGACTGGCGATCTTGCCAGAAATTGTAATGTTCAAGGTTTAATCCAAACAAAGCCGTCTGCCTTCTAAGAAAACTGGGCAGTGGGCACCTTGTCTTGGTCTTGCGCTGCTCCCTGTATATTATGTGATTAATTAACCATGGCCTGTCATGCTTATATTGCTTTAAGGAAGGAAACAAAATCTTTAGTGTCCAAAGATAATTAATTTGTGGTTTAAATCTCTGCCAGCAAGGCAAACGGTAACTGACTACTCGAGTCTGTAATCTTTGCCCTTTGTGCACACTTAGCCAGCCTGATCACACAGGCGTGTGGTGCGTGAGCTGTCTTTCTGCTCAGGACAGCTGTGCTGCACATTATGGGTAACAGTTTCACCTCTGACATAGTTCCCCAGGACATTTTCCCAAAAATGCTTATGCTTGACATTGATTGTGGTATCACAATGTGGGACAAATATTTGAGCTTTGCCAGGAATTCTTTGGGGGACTGTTAAAACAATTACTACAAGAAAAACATGATGAATCACGGTGAAATTTTAAATACTTTAACAACTGAACAACTTTTTTTCTGATAAGATTCTACATGTTCTTAAATTTGCAAGAGGGTAATAAAACCCCAAAACTGCACAGGAAGTATTTTGATTTATTCTTTACAAATAATTTTATTAACATTTACCCCAGAAAAATCTTAAGATTTAATCCAAGATCATAAACTACGTTCACTTTGTCCATAGTTAACAAATAACTAGGCCCCAAATTACCACCACCGCCCTTACAGCCACACTGCAAAGTTCACCACTCCTGTGGCAACTGCAGTTCTGCAGAGGTGCCTCCAGCACTCAGCAGCTCTGTTTCCTCCAATCCAATGCAGTTTGTTGGGTGACTGGTGAAGGACTGGACAAAACAACTCAGCAACCCCACCTCCTTCCTGAGGACACTCTTCACTTCATAACTCTGCAGTGATAAAGCCATGCTGGTTAGAGCAAACAGCCCTGGATGAGCTGCCCTAGCAACACAGAACACCAAAAAACCAGAGCAGAGGCCTTTTCCCCTGTTGGTGACCTTCTGCTCCTCAGATGGTAGAGATTCGGGGTAGGAAGGAAAAAAGGAACGGCTGCTGTAAAATCCTGCTTATCATGGCAAGTGAAGGAATGACCACTCTGAGAGGTGAATTCTGTTTTTATATAAGAAAAACTAAAATCTCCCTTCTTAAAGTTTTTAATTGATGCCACAATGAGCCCTTCTCCTTGGCTTTGGAAAGGAGCTGGGGGACCAGACACACAGGGCTCTGCGGGGGGCCTGCAGCTGGCTCTGCTTCCTTCAGGCACTTCCCCATCTAGCAGCACTTCCGGTCAAAGGATTTCCTGGTACTCTGCCCTGAACAAACTTCCCTCCTTAATAGGATCCTGCTTCTTGTAGAATTACACTGGGCTAAACACCTCTTTCTGCGTTGTAATAAGGAGACTAGGCTTTTTCTTCTTGTTCTGTTTGGTTAATCCCAGAATTTTATCTCTGGATGAGAACACAGGCTCAGGGCAGCCTGGGTCCCCACCCCTGAGCGGCTGGGAGGGTGTGGTGTGCCCTATAGAGAAGCTGCAGAGCTTTTGCTGCTGGGGAGGAGGAGCTGAAAATAAATAAAACCTTAAAAGTGTTGACATGATTATTACACATCTTAGGACTTCTGGGATGCTAAGCCCAGAGGCAATGCCACTTGCAGAGTAATTTCAGTCACCCTACCCCCTCCTTGGTACAAGGGCCTGGACAAGTGTCTGCAGCAGTCCCCTTCAGTTGGTATCCATCATTAAGGTGTCATAGCCAAGACTGTGGTTACAGAGGCCAGACAACATGATCAAAGCAGGCATGTGGCTTCTTGGTGTCTTTGCCACCAAAGGTGGGCACCTCACTGCACATGCCCTGAATGTGGGCTGGCCTCAGTGACTGGCTTCTCATGCACAGAATGCAGTGGAAGGGACACCAAGTGACATTCAAAGCTTGGTTAGGGCAGGTGCTCAGCTTTCAGATGGCTTTCTTGGGACCCAGACACAGGCCATGAGAGAGTCTGGCCAGAGCCTATGTGACCCCAACCCAGTCTTAGGGTCCTGGCTGATGCCTACGGGGAGCAGAGAGGACCTATCTTGGGGAGCTCTGTCTGGACTGCTGCTGTGTGCAGAATCAATTTTTTTTTTTGAGACAGAATCTCGCTTTGTCACCCTCAGTAGAGTGCTGTGGTGTCACAGCTCACAACAACCTCAAACTCCTGGGCTCCAGTGATCCTCTTGTGTCAGCCTCCCAAGTAGCTGGGACTATAGGCACCTGCCACAATGCCTAGCTATTCTTTTTAGAGATGGGGTCTCATTCTGTCTCAGGCTGGTACTGAACTCCTAAGCTCAAGTGATCCACCTCCCTCGAGCCCGGCCTCAGAACCAGTACTGAAGCCGCTAAGGTTTGAGATGGTTTATCAGGAGCAGTCTGGGGCGTGAGAACCACTCTATGCCAGCTCACTGGGACACTTCATTCTCCCACTAATGGGATAGGCATGGTGTGAACACCTAGCTTATTTCATGTGCCTTGTAAAGAGTTTTGGGTTCCTCAATGAGAAGTTAGAGTAAGGTCAAGAGAGCAGTTTAATGGAGTCAGGGGAGGTGGGAGTGAGAGCTGCTGCCCAGACAGGCAGAGATGCTACAGCCTTCCTACGGTGCCTGTGCAGCATGCTGGAAGGTTCTTGCCTCTTGGTTGTTCACTGTCAGGGGTTTATAGGGTGGCAGTGAGCAAGACAGAGCTGCTGGTCTGGAGAGAGTGCGGGGTCACAGAACTAGGGGCCACCACACAGGCCTCAAGGTGGAGGCAGGAGCCAGATGCCACCCAGCCAGTCAATGCCAGGGAGCCCCAAAGGGCCCTGGAGCCCCTAACCTGGAATAAAAGTGCAGGATTCTGACTTGAAAAAAGTCAGCACAAAGTCATTTATTTTCAAAATGTTAGTTTTGGCTGTATCATCTACAAATGGAGTTTAAATGATAAATCTTTTATCTTTGGGGAAAAGTGATACAAAGAGGTTAAGATAACCGCACCAGCAAACTCACACACATTCTTCATTTGAACATCTATCTGCATATGTATAAAATAAGCCTCTATTTTTATAAGTCACAACATGTATGTTATTTCAGCTTTTCCTTTTCTGAAAGTCTTAGCTTTAGAAACAAACTTCAAACCCCACATCTCTATAATGTTACCAGTGAGAGGTGACATGCACAGGGCCATCCTGCTGTCCTCACACCTGCAGCTTGGCCACACTGAAGTGGAGCACAGAACTCAACACTCAGGCCTCCTGATCAGAAGCTCTGCATGTGCTCCAGGGAGTCCATGCCACCTCCGTGGAAAGCCCTGATCTGATTCTTTGGATTTTGGTGAATGCACATTCTTACTCAGGAAACAGCCAGGATTCAGACTGGTGACTCTCAGATAAAGCCTCCACTTAGGCCCTTCATACCCATTTTATACCCATTTTCTCCTGGTTTTTCTCCAGGCCAGACATAAAGACCCCATTATCCACTGTGAGCAAAGCTGAGGACAGGGTATGTACCTGTAGGTTCCAAACTTACCCCTGGTCCACTGCTGTAGATGCTAACACCATAGACACCAATCTACGCACCTGAGTACACATGCATAGTTGTACACAGCATGCTCAAGCAGACACACGCACTCATGCTGTGGGCTCTTGGGTTTTAGCTATGGGAACATTCTAGTGGGCAAGTAAAGAGTGAGAGGACAAGCTGCCTTAGCCAGAAGGAAACCAAGTGAAGGATGGGGGATTTCTGCCAGGCCTCCTAGTCTCTAGGTCCCTAAAGAGTGGTGGGGATTGTCAGGGGGCATCAAGCACCATCCACTTGTGCATTGCTGAAGGCTTCTCAGAGGAAGCATCAGGCTGCCCTCTTGGGGAGCAACACTTGGGCACTGTGCCACGCCCACACATTATTAGTTTCAGTCTGTTTAGGCTGTGGGCTTGGTTCATTCTGTTCTGTGGTCTCGAACAGGAGCTTCTTGTAGGCTTCCCCCAACATCCTCTGCTGAAATGCAGTCCCTGATACACCAGGTTGTCTTCAGCAAAAGCCTCCTGCTCAAAGCCCCACCTTGGAAACCTCCATGTCACTGGCCCTGGGCAGCACCCCCTTTCTAAC